TTGGTCATGCAACGCAATCTAAGCGATTTTATATATTGGTCGTTTCATAAGTTCGTCGACTTTTTATTTTTGTCGCGGTTTTTCGATGAAGCGGTTGGTTTACGGCAAAATACCTTCACCATTGAAAAGAGAAAATCTTGCTCTACAAGAACTGTTGTTCGTTTTTGGAGCAAACTTGAATCCCCTTCTTTTACGACTTATCAAAGCAAAATTTTTTGAGAGGCAAAAATTGGCGATTTCGGCAACTGCACTTTCCGCACTTGGTCCGTATTGCGCAAGATGTTTTTGCCATAGGTAGGCGGGATGGATAGTAGCAAGCAAGACTGAAACACTGACAAATTTGCAGCATGCCAATATGCATAGAACCGTTTGAACAAGGTCCCAATAGTTGTTGACTTCGACTGCTGCCGCTTGAGTTTGGCGCGTTGTTCAGCGACAGAATGTGTCAGTCCTCCTATCGGAACTTGAGGAATGGATGCCTTCTTCTAAGTGGTGTAGATGTATGAGTACAAGCTCTGGCCAACATTTTACGCTTTCTCAAAAAAATGTTTGACGTGGAAACTTCTTCAAATTGTGCCAAACGCAAAATATCTACACACATGGTAAACGTGCGCTTAATCTTTCTTTATAGCGTCTCTTTGGATATGGAGACTACTTTTATATGCACCGTAGTACCACAAACAGTTGTTTCTCATCACTCATAACAACTTTAGACGAAAAATTTCCACTTGTGGCTCCGTATATGGATCGAAAGTTGCAGGTGCCGATATCGCCAATTTTGGCCTCTCAAAGAATTTTGCCTTGATAAGTCTTAAAAGAAGGGGATTCAAGTTTGCTCCAAAAACGAACAACAGTACTTGTAGAGCAAGATTTTCTCTTTTCAATGGTGTAGGCACTTTGCCGTAAACCAACCGTTTCATCAAAAAACGGCGACAAAAATAAGACGAACTTATAAAACGACCTATACAAGTTGTTGAAAAAAGTGTGAACACTGTTTGATCGTTAATAACTCCCTTGCTTTCACTTCTTTCATCGAGTTTGAGTGACCATATTGTAGAGCAACTTAGATTTAAAGAATGGAACGAATCTTCCATCTTTCTTTATTACTGTAGGATTGCAGTATAAACTTTCAGCAAATAGAGCCATCGTGGAATATTTGATAAACAAATTTCAAAATTTAGAAATTTGTGTAGCAAGTTTTTAGGCGTTTTGATTTCACTACATAATTTTTTACCAGTGTCTTGAGCTTTTTCAATGGTGTGATCACAATTCTAACGAACACTGGAAAAACACTAGCAGCCCTAAACCTGAAATATTGGGTTGGCTAATAAATAATTCCGTTTTGACATGCAACTTGAAGCTCAATAAAAATTCAACTAACTGTTATTAGACTATAATGTTTTGTGTTCGGGTAGCTTCAAGCTTCTGCTATCACATACTCATGACATAGAGTTCTCAAACATGTTAAAAAGCAGTTATGACCTTAGATGGTAAGCCTTCCAAAAAATTACTTTTCTGACTTTCCCAGCTTGTAGTAAGTGTACAGATGAGAAACTTGGTGATTGATTATATATAACCTTTGCCTACTGGCGATTCATAATGCAGGCTGTGAGCTATTGTTTGTGTAATTCTGCATCCAAAAAACTGAGAATTTCCAAGAATTTCCATGCGCGGAAGTCAGTTCAGGGGCAACTCAAATCGGTTAAATTTGATCATATACGGCCGTGCGAATGGTTGCAAATATCAGAATCGTATGTATGCGTATCATTCGTGCACTTCACACCCATATTACTTTGTTTTTTGGAGCATGAATTATGAATGAATCATGAATTATGCATCTTTATGAGGTTTACTCAAAGTTAAGTCAAGTCGATAACATGCGATGCCAAACTGGTGTGTGTGTGTGTGTATGTGTGTGTGTGTGTGTGTGTGTGTGTGTGTGTGTGTGTGTGTGTGTGTGTGTGTGTGTGTGTGTGTGTGTGTGTGTGTGTGTGTGTGTGTGTGTGTGTGTGTGTGTGTGTGTGTGTGTGTGTGTGTGTGTGTGTGTGTGTGTGTGTGTGTGTGTGTGTGTGTGTGTGTGTGTGTGTGTGTGTGTGTGTGTGTGTGTGTGTGTGTGTGTGTGTGTGTGTGTGTGTGTGTGTGTGTGTGTGTGTGTGTGTGTGTGTGTGTGTGTGTGTGTGTGTGTGTGTGTGTGTGTGTGTGTGTGTGTGTGTGTGTGTGTGTGTGTGTGTGTGTGTGTGTGTGTGTGTGTGTGTGTGTGTGTGTGTGTGTGTGTGTGTGTGTGTGTGTGTGTGTGTGTATGTGTGTATGTGTGTATGTGTGTATGTGTGTATGTGTGTATGTGTGTATGTGTGTATGTGTGTATGTGTGTATGTGTGTATGTGTGTATGTGTGTATATGTGTGTATGTGTGTATGTGTGTATGTGTGTATGTGTGTATGTGTGTATGTGTGTATGTGTGTATGTGTGTATGTGTGTATGTGTGTATGTGTGTATGTGTGTATGTGTGTATGTGTGTATGTGTGTATGTGTGTATGTGTGTATGTGTGTATGTGTGTATGTGTGTATGTGTGTATGTGTGTATGTGTGTATGTGTGTATGTGTGTATGTGTGTATGTGTGTATGTGTGTATGTGTGTATGTGTGTATGTGTGTATGTGTGTATGTGTGTATGTGTGTATGTGTGTATGTGTGTATGTGTGTATGTGTGTATGTGTGTATGTGTGTATGTGTGTATGTGTGTATGTGTGTATGTGTGTATGTGTGTATGTGTGTATGTGTGTATGTGTGTATGTGTGTATGTGTGTATGTGTGTATGTGTGTATGTGTGTATGTGTGTATGTGTGTATGTGTGTATGTGTGTATGTGTGTATGTGTGTATGTGTGTATGTGTGTATGTGTGTATGTGTGTATGTGTGTATGTGTGTATGTGTGTATGTGTGTATGTGTGTATGTGTGTATGTGTGTATGTGTGTATGTGTGTATGTGTGTATGTGTGTATGTGTGTATGTGTGTATGTGTGTATGTGTGTATGTGTGTATGTGTGTATGTGTGTATGTGTGTATGTGTGTATGTGTGTATGTGTGTATGTGTGTATGTGTGTATGTGTGTATGTGTGTATGTGTGTATGTGTGTATGTGTGTATGTGTGTATGTGTGTATGTGTGTATGTGTGTATGTGTGTATGTGTGTATGTGTGTATGTGTGTATGTGTGTATGTGTGTATGTGTGTATGTGTGTATGTGTGTATGTGTGTATGTGTGTATGTGTGTATGTGTGTATGTGTGTATGTGTGTATGTGTGTATGTGTGTATGTGTGTATGTGTGTATGTGTGTATGTGTGTATGTGTGTATGTGTGTATGTGTGTATGTGTGTATGTGTGTATGTGTGTATGTGTGTATGTGTGTATGTGTGTATGTGTGTATGTGTGTATGTGTGTATGTGTGTATGTGTGTATGTGTGTATGTGTGTATGTGTGTATGTGTGTATGTGTGTATGTGTGTATGTGTGTATGTGTGTATGTGTGTATGTGTGTATGTGTGTATGTGTGTATGTGTGTATGTGTGTATGTGTGTATGTGTGTATGTGTGTATGTGTGTATGTGTGTATGTGTGTATGTGTGTATGTGTGTATGTGTGTATGTGTGTATGTGTGTATGTGTGTATGTGTGTATGTGTGTATGTGTGTATGTGTGTATGTGTGTATGTGTGTATGTGTGTATGTGTGTGTGTGTGTGTGTGTGTGTGTGTGTGTGTGTGTGTGTGTGTGTGTGTGTGTGTGTGTGTGTGTGTGTGTGTGTGTGTGTGTGTGTGTGTGTGTGTGTGTGTGTGTGTGTGTGTGTGTGTGTGTGTGTGTGTGTGTGTGTGTGTGTGTGTGTGTGTGTGTGTGTGTGTGTGTGTGTGTGTGTGTGTGTGTGTGTGTGTGTGTGTGTGTTCCAAATAGAAAATTCCATTTCTGAATCGATCCAATCCAAGTGACCGAGCGTGTCATACAACCACTCAAGGTGAATTTCGACGAAGTATGCGATCTTTACACTTTGGGCAAAGCTCATGGGTACGTGGTTTCGTAGACTCGTAACTTGGCAGCTGTTACAGGATGGACCTGAGACATGCACCGTTTGATAGCGCAGTTCCTAGTAACCTTAACTCGTAAGAAAAAGTAGGCAAGTGTCATAATGAATACCCGAGAGGTACAGGTAAATGTACGTTTTTTCATAGTTCAGTTAATTAGCTCACCGTATTTCTGCAAAAAGGCCCTTTACTCCACAGAGATCACAAATTTCATGAACAACGTGTTCGAAAACCTCCATGAGTGGAGCTTTCTTTCAATCTAAGATCATCAGTATTTTGACCAAAACACATCCGGCAAGCTTCAGAGCGCAGAACGAAAAAAAATCAGATGACCCGGACTTCTTGAAAACTTGCTCATAGAAGTTTTCTGACCTGCTGATTACGAAAATCACCTCTGCTTGGCTAAAGATCTTCGCATTTTGAAGCTAAAGCAAGCAGGATTTTGGACTACGGGATTTTTCCAGAATTCAGCAAATTTTCTATCATTTTCAAAATGAAGGCAGCGGCTACCTCTTAGTGACCGAAAATCAAAGAAAGATTGCTGTCGGAAATTGCTTATTGAGATCTTTTAATGTGGGATGTGCATTGCGTTACACTCTTGGGTACAGATGTCCACAGAAAAATTCGAGAATACTGAAAATGAAATTTTGAGGACATGCTGCCTCGAACAAAGCACAGTATAGTTGCTTCAAACCTCACCAATGAAATCGGTTATGGTCATGGGTAGCATTGTAGAATAGCAAACGATATGATCATGACAGTCATTCGCAGACTATATAGAAAAGATGTGTGCATTATAGTGCAAACTGTCCTCCGTTGTGAGACGCAATGTCAGCACAACCGGCACTTTCCTCGAAATTTCTCAATTCCTGCTCAAATACACTTCTCCAAAAAGTTGTTAGAAAATTTGTTAATTTACACTTACTCAGGAAGTATTCTGTTTGAACTAGTACCATACTTATGACAGAGTGCGAAGAATGCTAGCAAGTTAGCTCCCTGATCTTCAAAGCATTCACGATAAATTTCGGAGCATTCTCGCCATTTCCTCATATATGATGAAGGGGCTTAGCGATAAAACTAAAGTGTCTTTCTGTCGTGGCGGTGTTTCCTTGACGACTCCGTTATTTGAATCATCTATGCCATCCGAAGGTTAGCTCTCTTCTTTTCTTTTATTGAAACATAAAACATTATTAAAGACCTCTATGAGGGATACCGTCCTGAGAAGATCCATCAAATGCAAGATGGTGCAAACGACGTTTATTTTCACAACTATGGTGAGTTTGAGATGAAAGGACAACGTTGTAGTACATGTCAGGCTTTTCTATCAGATGAGAATTTTGTAAGAAAAAACTTTGCATTTAGAGCCTGTTGATGACTACATCGCAGCGCCTATTCCAGTATCCCATGGAGATCTGAATAGATGCATGGAAGTGTATGAGCGAAAGTCCAGCAATGTGAAACCTACTTTTTACGGTGAGACAACGAACCGTTCATATTTCACTTGGAAAGATCCGGTTCATACTACAAGGTGGGTTTCTGCGCAAATTCTCAATAGTTGTAGAAGTTTGAGAAACCATTTACAGGGTCCCATCGCTGTCAGAGAAGAAAGAAAGCGTCGTACCATTTTACTCGCAAACGACTAATAGAGAGGCGTACTCACCCAAAGTGACGCATAACGCTGCAGTGAAGTAATTTACCAAAGCATTATTCAGACTCTGACTTAGACCGTCGACGGCATACCTCCGGATCGAAAGTGGGAGGGCCGCGGGCTCTGCCCAGTGGGGGTCTGCCACTCGTGCTCCGGAGCCCTCCCATTTTGTGCTCCGGAAGTCTGCGGCATACTGTATTAGCCCTAATTAAACTCCAAACCACAATTATGCCTCCAAACCCCACCCAAATTAGCTCTAGACCAGGGTCGAGCAAACGGTGTGGCATACGACCGCCGAATACGACCCCTTCCCGGGTGGGACTTCAGCGCGACCCTCAACCCCGTTCTCTGCCCCTTCCCTCTCACCCCTAACGTTTGTAGATAGCAAAATAGAAAAATGAGGAGACAAGACATTTATTTTGAATCAACTGCAGACAATCTACTGCAAATTGTAAAACAAAACTTTTGTTGGACATTGCATTAAGCTTGAGTTCGCTTCTATTCGTAGGTATCATCACATCGACGTTCCGAAGGGAAACCAATTGCCAGGCGGTTCAGCTGAATTGCTAAACTTGTGATGAAGTAAAGTTTTGGACTGGAAACTGCTCACCTGCTTCGCTTCTTGTGACGATAGCACTTGAACAGAGAAGTCCGACTGAGATGCGCTGCTGGTCATAATGCAAAGTTCTGTCAACTTCGCTGGCAGAAGCTGACAGAACTTGGATCGCAGAAGAAGCGACAAATTCCAAAATTGAACTGTACCACGCGGATCTGATTCAGCGCAAGCACGCTAAGAAACGACTCGACAAATGCTTGAGTGCAGTCGAACTGCAATGATTATTATTGATTGGAAAAAATTCACTGATCATTGAAAATTAATCATTAATACAGCAATTGATGATTATTCTAAATAAAACTAATTTCGAGGCTAACACTTTGTGACAAGAGATTTGTTTGATATTTTTTGGTTTAAAAACACTTTGGCTCAATTTATATTTTCAAAGCTTAGAAAGCCCTGCTCGGGAGAATCATGCTTCGGCGTCTCACGTGCTACGTGGCGAATCACGGTGGTGATACACACCGTGAAGCACTATGATTTACACCGTAAACTACGTGAAACAAATCAGTGCTACACATGGTGAAGCACATTTATGGCACACACGATGAAGCAAGTATCGTTACCTTGTCTGAATGTAGAGTTCAAAACTTATTAGAATTAGAGTTCAAAGGCTTCCATTATGACCTTATATAGAGTCCTGCATAGTAACACTTAGATGTTCGCAGTTTCCTAGTGATCTATCAGATTCTGCTACAAACTGAGATGGTTCACCATACAGATTCAGAAGCTTCGCAACTGAATAAAACAGAAATGTTCACAAGCGCACTGTAATTCCACCTTTCATAGCAGTTCAATCGATCGGAAATTGAAAACACACCTTAACAATGACCTTCTAGTAAATAGTACAGTAATCACTACCAAAGTATTAGCTTGCTTGCTAAACTACCCTCCTTCTATGATTCTATAAGCTCTGGCGTGAGAAGGCCGCGAGACGCGTAGTTTAATTTGCTTCGCAAAGACCGTGTTCTCTATTGTGATCTAACAAGGGAAGCTAACCAACTTAGCTCGGCCTTTTGACAAGGAGCATTTAGAGTTTGAATCATTTTCAAATGCTGATTTCAAATATGCTATTTCTAGCTGCCACGCACCATTCCGAAGCGAGTTATGGGCTTTTTCCTGCGCAAAGTTGGCATGCTCATCGACTCACGGGCATCAAGTCATCATCATTTGAGTGTTGATACACCTGCGTTAAACTTTAGTGAGAAAAGATTGGATTTGTAATATTTCGATACTTCAGCACCTTTTTCTTGCAGATTTTTATCTACAAGCAGTCTTCCGATGTTCAGTAGTATTCCAATTTTGCGCAGGAAAAAATCCATAACTCGCTTCGGAATAGTAGTACTCCTGCGTTGATACCACTGCTTGAATCAGCGTTTGAAGCTGATCCATAATATTTATGCATTTTACCAAAAGGCCGAACTAAGTTAGGTAGCTTTCCTTATAAGAAGGAAACCCTTTTTAACAAATAAACTTTATATCCTATGCCAGAACCGCTAGTGTAACGAAATTGTTTTTGAGTAATGTACTTACATTAACAATGTGCGGCATATCGACATCAAGGCACGGAACAGACGACCCAAATTCAAACTCGTCGTAGTTCAGACGTTCTGCTGCCGGAATGTTCTGCAAATAAAGCAAATACTTGGCGGAAGTGGGTGCATTTAAGAATTCGGCCTTACATTTCAAAATTACATATGAGTGTAACTGACGCCATAGGAGATAGGAGAATACCACTCAGAACTGATTTTTGTATAATTTTCAAATTCCGGGTGAAATGAAACTTCAACGCGATAAGGACTCTTTTTTTGCGTAATGTATTTCTACTTCGAATTGGTCTTCCTCTATGAAACCCTTCAAGCCTTCAAAATCCTCAACCATTGCTTTCGAATTTTGGAGGCTATACGGTAGCGTTCGACTGGCAGCGCTACTTACAAGGGAATAAGGGAATGGTCAGAAGTCGAAGTGGCCAAACCAGAGAAGCTGTATACCATTCAATGCAGTATAAAACGCTGACTTCGAATCTGTCTTCCTTATCTGCTTCCCGCTTCTGTGGACAAAGCTACAAGCGGTTTTATTGTGAAAAAATCATACGTAAAAACAGCGAAGTTGAGCACATTGTTGCGCTTTTAGCTCAGCTTTTGGCTTCAAAAGTTTTAAGTAAGCTAGCGACATGTTTTGGCTCAGCATTGAGGCGAACGTGGCTCTGTACGGCTAAATTTTCAATTTCACGCATAATTTCTTACAAGGAGAGGATACTTAGTCGAAAGCACCAATCCAGATGAGGCATATATCATCTGGACGTGCTCAGAGCGCTGATTTCAAATCGCAAAATTAGCTGCGGAGCGCCTTTGGGCAACGAGTTATGGTTGTTTTTGTGAAGAAAATTTGAAATCGAGGGAAGAAAAAAACTATACGCAGAAGCCTCCAGTTGGGCTCGAATGGGGGAGTGATGTCTGTCTGCTATACTCACATTCAAAACGAGTCTATCTGCGAAATATACATGTTGTAACAATCAATTTTACTCCCTTTACCCATTCAATTTTTGGCTCTTGAAACGGTCATAGCTCCTCATCCAAAGGCGCTTTGCAGCTGATTTTGCCAGATTTGAAATCAGCGCTCCGAGCAGATCACGACGATGTATGTCTCATCTGGATCGGTGGTTTCGACTAAGTATCCTCTACTTGTTAGCAGAATAATGGTCTTTAATGGCTTATAGCTTCGTCCAGAAAAGCGATAAGCAGGTAAGGAAGACAGATTTAGAGTCAGCGCTTCATGCTGCATCTAACGGTACGCAGCTTGTCTGGAATGTCCACTTCGATTTCTGACCATTCCCTTGTTAGCCTATAGCTTGTAGTCTCTCCCACTTACAGGGCTAGAGGCATGTTTTACCCATTGAACACTCATAAACCGTGTCTAGCAGACTTAAATAAAGCGAGTAAAAAAGCCGTGCTATTTACTTGTGTGGCCTACCTACAGAAAAACTTGAATTCCCGTAAGTATTTCATCTTCATCGTTGAATTCTCGGATTATATACTTTTCGTTTCGAAAATCCAGGATCTATCACAAAAACCACTCTATCAATAGTCAACGATGTCTCAGCAAGTCGAAAAGAGCACTAAAAGTGACTGTTTGCATCCGCACGAGGACCTAAAACCTGAACCTGAAAAGAAGGAACTGAACAACGTAAACGCCATAAGCGCCGAAGAGCAACACGAAAAAGAAAAAGAACGGAAAAAAATGCGAAAAAACGACAGCAAGTCGAAAACGAGAGCCGAACAACAAAGTGATTGAGTGCATCATCCTCACGGAAATCCGAAACATAAACCTGAAAACGAGGAACTTAGAACAACATAAACGCCAGCGCGCCGACGAGTAACACAAAACCCAAAAAAAAGAAAATTGAGCTGGAAAGAACGTCAAAAAAAAGCAAGTCGAAAGGGACGGCAGCCTATTTTCGAAAATGCTAACCTGCATATTACAGCAAATTGACTGCGTACTTATCTGCGCTCCGGGGCTCCTCCAAATCTGGCGTACCTCCGGAGCAGAGATTTGCAAGCCCGAGGAAGGGGGGACCGCCTCCTCGCCCCGCCTCTTCAATGATTAAGAAGGCCCTCCGGAACTTTGCCAGATTTCGACTGCCCTTCGGAGCTACGGCATTGATTGTCTGAGTGACGAAGAGGTTACTGAATTATCTAGTAATTTTGCATTTTTATAGGGAGAGTGCAGAAAGAGAGAAACAGCACTGTTCCATTCTACTCCGAAACCATCAATCGAGCAGAATATGTTGAAAAACCGCTTTTGAGAGGAAATCGTTTTAAGGGCCGCATGCACTAACATCCCCGCGGGGAGGGGATCGCAGCTTAAAAGAAAGCTTTATATTTCGGAACTATAGATACCTGGATTTCACGTTTTGTACCTATCCGTAAGTATTCCTACTACCCTTCACTATGAACATGTTGAAGAGGAGCGAGAAGCTGTACGAACCGCATTTTCCAGCTTTAGTATGATCCCTGATGATCCCCGGCGCTTTTCTTCAAAGTCATTTTTCTTTCTCCAAAGTTAACGAAAAGTTTCCAAAGTTGTGCAGATTATCTAACCCAACACTGCTTAGCATGTTGCTGATAAGAACAAGTGAAGTATCGGAGTCATGAAATTTTCGATGATCCACAAGTCGAAATTTGAGGTTTACCGAAAAATTCGACTTTTCAAAAACTCATTTGTTCTCATCAGCAACATGCTTAGCACTGTTGTGTTAGATGTTCAGTACAACTTTGGAAGGTTTTCGTTAACTTCGGAGAAGAAAAATGACTTTAAAGAAAAGCGCCGGGGATCATCAGGGATCATACAAAAGCTGGAAAATGCGGCTCGTACAGCTTCTCGCTCCTGTTCAACATGTTCATAGTGAAGCGTAGTAGGAATACTTACAAATAGGTACACAATGTGGAATCCAGGTATCTGGAGTTTCGAAATATAAAGCTTTCTTTTAAGCTGCGATCCCCTCCCCAGCGGGGAGGTTAGTGCATGCGGCCCTAAGTTAGCCAATAAACAGTACTTAAAACCCATTGCTAACCTGCCTTATTCAGAAGATCTATGGAGTTAGCTTCATTGCAAGGACCACTCGCTTTTGAAAACAGCAATTTTTTGAACTCTACACGTGAGGTATATGACATCTCTCTTTGACAATTTCTTTGAGTTGACTACCTCGAACACCTTCGGCTTCGCTTGGTTTCTATTGACCAACGTTATAGAATTCCTAATCCGTCCCTTCCAATATCTTCCTAAACCGCTTCGTCTACATCTCAAACAATTCACCGGAACTTCCGCAGGACAAGCAGGATTTAGCGATTCCGCAGCACTTTCCTAACCATTGAGAAAGTGCACGCTCCAAAATGCGAGATTTCCGCAGGAGATTGACTTCAGAGCGATCGTAAACCGGAACTTCCGTAGCACTTTCCACAAAGCGCTGCGAAAATCCAATGAGGCTCGTAAGGCTTCCGCAGCACTTTGACCTGCCAGCATTTCCGCAGGATTTGAAAGCGCATGCACTTGCGATTGCGAAATAGCGGACGCATTTTCAGCAAAACAGCGCATAACGCACTCTTTTCTTGCATACTGTTTCGCTTCTGTTCCTCCTCTAACTTTCTCTTTTTCTTTCTTTCTTCAATGTTGGCCTAATTAAACCTATTCTTATCCATAACCTGTGTATTCTTTCAGGCATCAGTGCAGGTGTGTGAACAACCATCACCAAGCTGCTGGAGTGCTGAAAAAGGACTCAACGGAGGGACTTCGGCCAAGCACAACGCCCTTGTTCGGGTATGTCGAACTTCGTTGCTTTATGTGCTTTGATTAAAATAATAATCCAAGTGATTTAAAACTATTACTTTATAGAGAATATGCACTGGATCTAAATAAAGCAGAAATGGTTAGGTAGAAATATTAGGTTGTATCATAATTAATGCACGTTTTTATTTGCTTGCTTTAACAAAGCAAACAGACTGAACCCAACAAAGGGTAAGGGGTACTGTTCGATAGAGCAAAGCAAGCTCTACAAGATGGCGCTCATGTCTTTGCGCCATGCTCGATCCACGGAGAGTTCAAACTCATAATCTAAAGATTTCCAAATGCCCAAAAAGTCGAAGAAAATCAGATCTTCGTCCAAATAATTTCTACGAACCTCTCACTCGCTCACATCAATACTATCGATATCTGATATCCATATGTGCGATTGCCGTATTTTTTCCTTGACTAGAAACTGAGAAAACGAAAATTTTCGTGTTTTTCTAAAACCAATGCTGAGCCGTTTTTGCATATGTAGTTCTATAGTACAAGCCTAGTTAAGCATAACTATAGGTTTTCAGCCTATTTCGAGCGGTACTTTTCGAGAAATGTCGATTTTAACACTGAAACTGAAACGAAAAAATCCAAATTCGTTATTTTTCGAAAACTACCGCTTGGAATGGGCTGAAAACCTACAGTTATACTGACCTAGGCTTGTAGTATAGAACTACATATGCAAAAACGGCTCAGCATTGCTTTTAGAAAAACACGAAAATTTTTGTTTTCTCAGTTTCTAGTCAAGGAAAAAATGCGGCAATCGCACGTATGGATATCAGATATCGATAGTATTGATGTGAGCGAGTGGGAGGTTCGTAGAAAATATTTGGACGAAGATCTGATTTTCTTCGATTTTTTGGGCATTTGGAAATCTTTAGATTTTGAGTTTGAACTCTCCGTGGATCGAGCATGGCGCAAAGACATGAGCGCCATCTTGTAGAGCTTGCTTTGCTCTATCGAACAGTACCCCTTACCCTTTGTTGGGTTCAGTCTGGTTGCTTTGTTAAAGCGAGCAAATAAAAACGTGCATTAATTATGAGACAACCTAATATATCAAAACAAGGGGGGGGGGGGGAAATGGGTCACCGAAATTTCAAAGTGATCTACAAGCTCTTCTCAGACAAGCAAAGGCTTTCAGCGGGCAGCCACAAAGCCACCACCAAGCCCCACCAAAAGCGCCGTGGCCTTATCGCCTCAGTGTCGCCTCCCGCTAAGGACCGTGTTAAAACTGGCAGCGAGCGGGCTGCTATAAATTCTTCAGCGCAAAGCGAAAGCGGCGGTTGTAGCAGCACGCTCGCTGCCAGTTCTAACACGGTTTTCTTAGCGGGAAGCGACAGTGAGGCAATAAGGCCACTGCGCTTTTGGAGGGTCTTGGCGGTGGCTTTCTGGCTGCTCGCTGACAAGGGAAGTTCACTTAATCGAAGTGGCGATTCCGAATGAGATCTATACCTGTAAATAGAGCTTAAAAAGCTGGTCTTAGATAAAATTTTTATATCTTTTAAAATGGGGTGTTGATATCCCCTTACCACCAGTTTGAGGAGTTCGATCGTGAAAACGATCGAACACCTCAAATTTGGGTAATAAACCTTTATTATAAATCCAAATAAAACGAGTACAAAACGACTACCAAGTAAATACTAAAGCGACTACAAAACTACCGACTAAATACGACAACGATACATAGAGGGAATATGTGCCATCCAAACAACCTGAGCATGGCTGTGAGGGACCTGTGTGGGAGAACTGTGAGGGACCTGTGATCAAGCTGTGAGGGACCTGTGTGGGAAAACTGTGAGGGGGTTATGACTAGGATGGCACAAAATAAGAACTATACTATATCAGCATATAAAAGGGAAGAAAAAGTAAATAAAGCAATCGCAAAAATGTACAACAAAAATCATACATATAAGACAAAGCAATCGCAAAAGAGTTAACAACCACAACTAAGCATTCTTGCCCTATATATGCTACTAGATGGCAAACCCGGCTCCGCCCGGGACGAAACTTTGCACACATACACTTCGGGGCAGGGAGCGTGTCATAGTCTACTTTTCGTTATCGATCGATGTCGATTTTACCGATTTTTTGCAAAATTTGAGCTGGGGGGCTAGTAATCGAGCATGCTGATCAACCCCTCCGGGGTGATCAGCATGCTCGATTACTCCCCTGTGCAAAATCCTAGCCCCCTAACTCAAATTTTGCAAAAAATCGATAAAATCGATATCGATCGATAACGAAAAGTAGCCTATGACACGCTCCCTGCCCCGAAGTATATGTGTGCCAAGTTTGGTCCCGATCGGTTCAGAAATAAAAATTTCTATTCCGCACATACGTACAGACAGACAGACATACATACAGACAGACATTCAGCTTTATATATAAGATAGCAAGTCGCGCTATGCTTTGGGAAGGCTGCCTCGATACCACTTAGCAATTCTTTACTCTCTTTTTTTCGCATAGACAATCGCAAATCTTTCGCGCAGTCATGTCTTGAGAAGCGCTATGCTTCCCCTTTATCAGATTTCACAGCAATAACTGTGCTTACCGCACTTTGAGCTCGCCCAAAGATCGCGTAACCTCGATATCTTTTTTGTTTTTGGAAAAGGCACTGCAGTAAAGAGCAGAATTTTTTCTCAGTAAACGATTAACAAGTTTCCTTCTCTTTTCCTCTCTTCAAGTCTCTTTCTTGAACCTCGGCATCGTTAGTATACTGTGTTAGTATGTAAGTAAGCCTTCCGAGGTTAGTAGGTCTTTATTCGTGGCGGCCTAACGTTTCGAACAAGTCGTCTTCTTCAGAGGCCTCCTCCACCGTCGGGGCGCGGATGTCAGGGCGGCTGTCCTTCGATGCCACTAGTATCAAATTTCTTCTATCTAAAAATGTTAGAATTTTTTGGTGACCCTGTTTGAAAAATGCCAATCTTGAGTAATCTTTGATTGCTTCTAACTCGCGAACTTTCTTAAGCCAATTTATGGCGAGATACCGTTTTAAAGAGAATGATTTCCTCTCTTAGATGAATATAAAATCAAAGAGATCCATCGAATCGAAAGGAAATTATGATTTTCTTGAAAAAGTGGCAAACGTACTTTTGGTCCCACCTAATAGTTGTGGGCGATTTTCGAAGGAGCTGTGCTAAAAAGAATCGAGGCGGTACAAAAATTATAACCGCAAAAATTCAACCATTCTTGAATTTTTATTTGCTGGAAGTGGCCACACGCCCACGAACACAAAAGCTTCGATCCCTCCCTCCCCTCCCTTAAATAAATTTCTCGCGCCGCCACTGCTTTTCGTGTGTCTATCCTTTTCTACTCTCTGCTTTTGATTTTCAAATCTTTTCCCTTTCTACAATACCGCACACATACAAAATAATAATTTTTGATTCAAAGATAAAAAGTTTAAAACTTACGATTTGAAATGATAGCTCGAGAAATTCGAAACTAGAATTTTTGAATAATAGTGTCAAATGATTGAATAAAATAGAAATAATGTGATAGCAATATATCAAAAGAAAGGGGCGGGGCTCAATGGGTCTCAAGAATATTCATAGTAGTCTACGACTGTAGATAATGAAAGATCAAAGCTTTCTTAATTCTAAAGTAGTTTGTCTAGGGCAATTTTCGAAGGTGTGGCTCACTCCACGCCCCTTTTTGCTAAAAAAAGGGCGAGGGCGTACAAAAATTGGAACACGAAATTCAAGCATTCCTAAATTTTCCTGTGTTCGGTGGCTCACACCCACAAACCCAAATAATTTTTTGTCCCCCCCCCCTTAAAAAAGTTTCCTGCACCGCCACTGCTTTAATGTATCTATCCTTCTCTGCTCCTCTGTTTTTGCTGTTCTAAATGCTTTCTCTCTCCCAAATGCTTCCTACATCTTCAACGAATCTGCACATGTTTATTTTCGAATTTATGTTTCCAATAGTATTAGATTGTCCGGGAATTAATCTCCGTTTTGACTTTCAACCGCATTAAGTCATAAAGTTCTCATTTCTAAGTAGACTGCAAAGTATCATTCGATAGAGCAAAGCAAGCTCTACAAGATGATAATCTCACTTTAGCAACAACTCTAACACAGTTCGTGTTTCAAGCCAAAAACTAAAAAAGACCCAACTGCCTGAAAAATCGAGAAAAATCGTAACTCAGTTTATAAGTATCATACGAGAATTCTAACTCGCTCGCATAAACACTTCCACAAAAGACAACTGTATACGCCGTTACCGTATTTTTTCCTCTGTTAGAAATCAAGAAAACGGAAAATTTCGTGCATTTGCTAAAGTGATGCTGTGCCATCCTCACATAAGTAGTTGTATACTACAGATCTGTAGAAGTACAAACATAAATTTTCAGCTCTCTACAACCTTTAGTTCTCAAAAACTTCGAATTTTGGCTTGGATTACCTGACTAGGGAAAGCCATATTCGATATTTCTCGAGAATCAAAGCTTATAGAGAACTGAAAATCTACGTTTGTACTTCTACAGGTCTGTAGTATACAACTACTTATGTGGGAAATGCAAAGCATCACTTTGGTAAATGCACGAAAATTTCCATCTTTTTGATTTCTAACATAGAAAAGAATACGGCAACGGCGTATATGGATGCTTTTTGTGAATAGTGTTTATGAGAGCGAGTTAGAATTTTTTTAAGATACTTATGAACTAAGTTACGATTTTTCTCGACTATTCAGGCAGTTGGGTCTTTTTAGTTTTTGGCTCGAAACTCGTGATGGATAAGAGTTGTTGCTAAAGCGAGATTATCATCTTGTAGAGCTTGCTTTGCTCTATCGAATGGCACTTTGCAGTCTATCTAGGAATAAGAACTTTATAACTTAATGTGGTTGAAATTCAAAACGGACATTAATTTCTGGACAATTTAATACCTACCTGAAGTACCTTTCAATGGAAGCAAGCTCCAGAGATAGAAGCAGGAGAAAAAAATCACTCCATTCTCAAAATTTCTGCGTTTGGTCGCAAAACTGAAACTCGC